ACATTTTGTGTATGTGAAAATTTTAGGTAGTCTTTGATGGTAGAATGCTATTCATGGTTTATGAAAAATCACTGTAACATAAGATATTGACCGTCTTGAAATATATTTTTCTATAAAACTAGTATATATTTCGAAAACGGAAGAAAGATTGAATTATGCTCGCCGAATAGTGACTGAAAAAATATTTCCAGACAATAATAAAATTGTTCGTACTTTCAGGGACGGTTCAAAAGAAATCTAACTGAAAATGGGGGGTCAAGTCGGGTTTGTTGCTTGGAGTCATAGGGATCATTCTAGATTTTTAATGAACCAATTCATTCTTCTGATTAATAGCGAGTTTTAAAAGTTTAAAAAAATAATGGATCTGAACTGACTGATGAGTGTACGAAAAAATGATGTTCTTTATGTTGAATATTGTTATTGTAAATTCGAGTATTTATAAATATATGTTCCCAGAAACACCATAATTTCTATTAACAGATTAAGTGTAATATTGTGTCACTGAATTGCAGTTTATTTAGAAATAACATTGCTAATAATTAAGCTGTGGATTTATAGACATGAATAACTGTAGAAATAGGCAGATAAATAAGGCATTTCAAACGTAAAATAGGCATTTAAAAATATAAAGTAGGCATTCAAATTGGTACTATAAATGTTTTTTCCCCTTATTATGTTATCCTTATCCGTACTTGTTTAGTAAGTTTTTGAAGATAATATAATATAGTTACATTCACGGAATGTTTGCTTTCATCATTATTCTGGCAAATTCCGTAGAAACCCTTTCTATCATTGTCAGGGAAATTTGGACCAAAAAGGCAGAATCGCAGTAGCTACCTTTTAGCTTTTCATTAAATGCAAGCGGTACATATGACCATTTTCTTCTCAGAAACCATGATTTTTTTCAATCGCCTTGCATTACACAAATGTAACTAATTTACTATGGTGCTACTTTAGCACATACTTTCTCGCATTATTTCTTAAAATTAAAAAAATCAAAATTTGCCATTTTCAAAAACTCAGTGTTCAACTAAAATGACACTTCCACCGTTCCCTTTAGCGTTTCTCGTTCTATACGTAGAAAAAATTAATTTGTAGCAGCTCTTAAGAATTATTTTCTAATTTTAATTAATCTCAAACTGAAATTATGTAAAAAAACACTTTTAAAAATATTTTTTTTTTTAAAATACCGTTAGAACAGATTTCATTTAAATCAAAAATCATCATATTAAGTATTGTACTTTTGCAATGTTCACTTTTTGCAATATTCAGAAATACAGAGTTCGCTAAAAATGAGATCGGCACCAATTTCTATACCGCGCTTTGTTACATATGAGGAGAAAATTTTAAGAAAACTTTGGACGGTTTTAAAGGGAAAAATTGTTTAAATTTCGAAGTAAAAATCTCCACCACCACCACCACCACCAGTGATTTTGCACGTATTTAATAATACGAAATACCTGAGCTGTAGTGGCAGTGAAACGGAACATTGAGTTATTGATAGTTTTTCGATTTATTTGTTCAACGTATAGTTTTTAAAATTTTGGTTACGGATAATTGCATTTTGAATAATAAATACGAGGCAACATGTAGGTATTTAAACACAAAATAGGCATTTATTAGTGAAATAGTCATTTATAGGCACTAAAAAATTGGCATAGTAAATAAATAAATAAATAAATAAATAAATAAATCCGTATCTAATTATCAGGGCTTTGAGTCTGAACAATTTAGCCAGAGATGGCCGAACAGACGCTTTCCCGTAAATCAATTTTTCGACACTAATAATTCAAAAAAACGTGAATTCTGACTACACAACCTGTTAGTTGAAGTAATTTAGTATATGTAGAAACAATATTCACTTTTTCGATGGCTGTTGCTCATGATACCATTCTTTCTGACGAAAAATCGCCACTTCCGGTGCAGAATTATATTTTCTACTTGCTACGTAAGTACGTTGTAGACGATAAAGTAGGAAGGCAATAAAAATTAAATTCAGAATTTCTCTATTGCATTTTTCTTAATAATATTAGTGATACATTCCCATATACAGATGGAAACTTTTCTCAGGAAAAACGTAGCATTTATACACCCGCGACATAGATATAGAAAATCAAAATCTACGAAACAGCCATTTATGTTCTTTTCTTTAAGATGTTGCTTCATCAGTAGATCATAATTAAGCTCTTATTGGAATATTTATAGAGGTGTGGAAAGCTTTAGGCACTATTCACCATAAAATGCTACTTTTAAATTTACCTTCAAATGAAAATTCCTTGTTTTGCACTATATTGGATATCCTTGTACCTTAAATATCGCTCTGAAACAGTAAACTAGCATGAAGTAAATTGTTTACTCCTCTTTCCAATTCTTTGTCAAATGAGCACGAGATCCCACAGGGTTCGATCGTTGGCCGTATCCTTTCTGTTAAATGTAAATGATATGCCATCGTCCATTAGAATAAAAAGAACAGTTCTGTTTGCTGATGAGCTTTGCGAAAAATAAAACAAATAGTACGTTTTCAGATTTCAAATTGGTTTTGTAATCTCAAATTAATAGTAAACGAAGGTAAAATAGTTTCAATACAGTTTTGCATTTCAAACAGATAATCGCATGCGTCAATGAAAATGAATAATATATAATTGTAGGACGTGAATATAACAAATTTTTATCTCTCAAATCAGTCGCTCTTCATATGGAAAATCCATATAAATTCAACACAAAATTAAGTTCATTATATTAAGCATTCAGAATTCTTTTGACTTCAGACAGCCTTCCCGCAGATGATTGCGTGTAATTTGAAATTTCCATAAGAAAAGATATTGCATAATATTCTATAGAAACACATTCCAGAGTACCCAGAATTTTTGATTGCAGAAAAAAATGACATTCAGATGATTCTAACAAAGATCATTGTGATTATAATCACAATTGCCTTGCGAATTTATTTTCAAAACTGTAATTTTTGTCGTAACTGATTTACTGAAGGGATGGAAACATATTTTCATGCATTGCAGATATTTATACTCACTACATACGTCGTAGGAATCATATTCGCCAAGGGTCTATATCAAGAGTTGAATACAAGAAATCCGCAAATAATACATGTACTACATTACTTTACAACTCATTGGGATGGCATTAATCAATTGAAATTGCATCATAAGTTTCCCTTGTTCCTTTGAGCAAATGCCCCTTTTGCTTCTGGACATAAATGTTTCAGGAGCTTCACTGTGCCAACTATTTGTTGAACTCTTCTGTTGCTTAGGAGTATAGCAATTCTATAAAATCAGACCTGTAGTTCGTTTACCGATGCATACTATTTGTTCTATTACTGGGGAGCGAAAATTTCTATTTACCAAACGTTACTAACCTCGCTTTGCTAACATTTTTCTTCATCACATGTATAGTAACATGTATAGTAACAGGTTATGGTAACAGTTAACATGTACAGTAAAAGTTTGGAGAAAGATTCTGAAACCTGGGAAAGCAGTAGAAAAGAAATAAAATAGACCTGAACTATTATTCTGATTAAAAATTTTAAATAATAAAATCAATGTGAATACAGTTTAAAATGTGAATACTAAATTAATTTATTTCTTCTCGTTTGACCTAAGGTCTTCGAGGGGTTTCAGATTTACATACTGACTTCTTTGGGATTTAGACATTCCTTGACAAATTGCGGCTAAATGTCGAGCTATGGGAAGGGAAACATGAATGATTCTACGGAGATATGGAATGATATTATTAGTTTAGGGAGGTTTAAACATATATTTGGGAACTTTAGATTTGATTCGGCTTGGGACGTTTGCTGTTCAGCCTAGATGGAATTTCAGAGCGGGATGAAATGAGGTAAGGGAAGGATAGAAATTATTTGCTACTCTTTTAATATGTCCTAGCATGGTTTCAAAAATGTGAATACTGGAAATGAAAATCAATTGATTTTCGCTCCCAATATTCCGCGGAACGTGGCTTTCATATTTATTCAACGGTCTTTATGTTTTTAACTATATATTCATCGTATTAATTCCTTTTTAATACATTTGATTTCCAAATTAGACTCTAAAAAATATATTTTCAAAAATACAAATATAAGCTTTTGAAGTACGTGAAAGTATTTTTTAAAGAATGTCTGAAAAGTTCAAAAGTTTTCTTCCGGTTTGTTTCTACTGTAACAGGCACTCTCTTTGACGAGCGCAAGTGTCCTCACACTTAAGAGTCTAATAACATAAACAACCCCATGGACAGTTGCCAGTACGATCTCTTATACTTGTCGTATTCATTCAAAATCGCCCTGAATAGCAACCCGAAATTATTTTTTACAGAGACTTAAAATCATTTGTCCCGAAACATTTCCTTGCTGGCGATTTCGAAGACTCTCTTTGACATTACAGAAGGAACAAACACACACGCTTTTGATTTATATGTTTCAGGAAGTATGACCATTTGACGGATTTTCATAGAAATAATAGTATCTTGAAACTAAGCGGCAGAGGAAAAACAGCGACAGGGCGCAATTGGCTCGTCATTCTTACACTTGGCACTCGATTTGAAATCCCAGCACCGGTATTTTTGTTTATTTTTTGTAAGAGCATAAAACAATACACAGAATTCAAGACAAACAATTTAAATTTTACAAGACAAACGATTTAAATTTTTGAGTAACTAAAGATATTAATTATTTCGATCCTTTTGCGTGTTGTTTGGGTTGGTGCTTTTGAGTTGGTGACTGAAGAATTAGGAGGAAAGAAGATGCAATCTTGTATTAATACGTAATCGTTACCAATAATGTGCTGTTGTTGCACCGCTAGTTTAAAATTTTATAGTGTTAAATATGCACTATAATAAAGACATTTTCATGTGTTAGAACATGTCGTTAAATGCATTGTATAGGGACATTAATTTGTTTCTTCATATATTTGTATGTTTACTGTCAGTGTAGTCCGAAAGCCGTACCCTCCATTTAAACTGCTCACGAGTGCTTTTTGTTGTTTTTGTAGGTTGAAATGGCAGAGGAGAAAGGTGCAGAGCGGGGCGTGGATTCTTCGCGGCCGCCGTTTCCGAAGCCGTTGCCTCCCTCGAGCGGGGGTGAAGGTCTCGGACTGGAGGTCGCCCAAATCGTTATCACCGCTGCCACGCCGACAGTGGAGGAGCCTGAACAGCTGTTCCCGTCAGCCGAAGAACCCGAGCCAACGGCAGAAGAGGAGAAGGAAGAAGAGAGCAAGGTGGCGAATGCCAACGACGAGGAGGAGAACGTCGGGGCTGAGCCAACTCCAGTTCCTCCTTCCGAAGAGCGGCGTGCCTCTGGCTCCCCCGCGCCCGATTTGGACGAAGATCTGCCCACGGACTCGGCCCCGTTCCCTATTAGTAGTAGCACGGGCAGCGAGGAGGATACGTACACGGGCCCGAGTACGGCCGAAAATTCGCAGAGCCAACCTGCCCCCGCGCCTGCAGGTCAGCAGCTGTCGGCTGACGACGACTGCGCGGCGGGCGCTGCGGGCGAGGCGGCCGAGGCGGCCGAGGCGGGCCAGGCGGGCCAGGCGGGCCAGGCGGACCAGGCGGGCCATGCGGGTCATGCGGGCGCGGCGGCCGAGGCGGGCCAGACGGCCGAGGCGGGCCAGGCGGCAGCAGCGCGGGTGGCAGTGGACGCCGTCCAACCTGTTGGAGGCAGAGGAAGCATACCGGATGAGTTGGAACCCCATCAACTTGCAAAACTTCAAGATCTTAAAGAGTCGAATGCGTAAACTGCCTTTTGTGTCGGACACGCACCATCTCCTAAATGCCTATGATATTTTACTGCGTGTGTTTCGACCTTTCTTTAATATGGCAACTATTCGTCTAACGTTCCCATTCAATAGAAGTGTACAGTGTATATTTCTTAGGAACCCTCTGGTCGAGTGCAATCATGTGTGATCTGTTACAACTATTTTACATATTGCAGTAATTGTTATTCATGATTGAAACTCAAAGCTACACACAATTCCTTCCGTGGGCGCGAAATTGTTTCTTCGGCCCATCAGCTACGATGTGTAACGGGGACCACAGCGCTCACTTGGCATTTGTTACTCGCGAGACCGCCATTATGTTTGCGCTGTCGCAATCCATCGACTGCATCAACGTCTTAGCTATTTGATGTATACAGATGTGTTTGCCTTTATTTTCTCGTAAAACTATCAATGGTCTTGCAGGAAGTTTGTGTAAAAGACCTGAAATAATTGTAGCAAAGCGTAGAAAATACTAGCAATGGATTCATGATAAATATTGTGAAGTAAAATGCTTAACTCTGATGATCCTCTTCTTTTAAATACTAGGAAGAGCACTAAGCACCCGTAAACTTGGTATTAATATCATTTCCAACATATTGTTTGAAGTAACTGAATAGTCTATTGCTGAAATATCTGTCAGCATGTGGAGAAAGATATGTGTGACTAATTTGAGGAGAGTATTAAATAAATGTATACATCTGCAATTCTCCAGTACCTTTTTGTCTCCTGTTTTGAAAATTGGTATAACGAAGTTTTCTATTCGTTGGTGATGAATGATTCTTTATTTTTTTAAATTAATATTACAATTTCTGCATTTATGTATCTCCTCAGAATTTCATAATTGTGTTTTTAAATGTGTCCACAATGAACATTTTTCTGTTTCTCAAGTCTGACATCGGTAATTTCTTCAAGGTATGACTTATCAAAATTACAATTTAAAAAATTACAATTAATCCTTATAATTGTGGAACATTGTAAAATAAGAAATAGTTTAATTTGTGTTGCTTCACCAACTTTGGTAGCTGTTACAAATTCTTTTAACTCTTGCTTCGATTTGAATTAACCTCTAAATTGTCTTTCTTACCCACGTAATTCTTTGTCGAGGGAACATCATATAATACATGTCACCTCTTTATCTTCACCACAAATGATACGAAAATGTCATTTGTTCAATCGGTGATGTAGACAAAAGCTGTGTTGGTACATGTAATTTCGTCTTTGCCACCTTTTTATCGAAGATCTAGAGTCATCTTTGATTTTTGAAATGGAACCGTGTGCTAGACCGAATCGGCTTAAGGAAACGGTTTCAAAAATTGTGTATTTCTTCGTATTCAAGGGAATAGATTTTTTTCATAACTGTATTTTGTCACATATTTTCTATTGTACTGTGGCACTATTGCTTTCTGCCTATTATTTATTTCAGAGAAAAGAGAACGTACCTAATATTCAAAATAACCAAATCTTTCTTAAACAACTTTATTAAATCTGTTGGAGACCTGCCACCATCTTCGAAAACACAAAGTCCCAAGCTCAATTACTTTCCGAGAGCTTTGCAGTGAAGATGAACATATTGACTGTTACGGAAAAGTATGTGTCAAATATGTAGTTATTTTCAGAAATATACTCACCTAAATATGAAGATACAGAATTTCAAATTGTCATCTTAATCTCATTTTGACATTTTAAACCTTGTCATACGGTTCAAAAAATCAGATATGATCCTGTATTACTGTAAAAAAAGTTGTATTTGCTACACCATTATGCTACAGAAACCTCTACTATCACAAAATCAACACCTCCTTCTCCTCCTCCTCATCTCCTACTGCTCTCTTTCCCTCTTCCGATACTAGAAATACTTTTTTCTTTTATATTATCTTAGATCACATTGGCTTCCGTAATCAAAAAATGTGTGACATCCGAACGTATATAAAGTTCGATGAAAAATTCACAGTAATACCTATACAGTAATAGAACTTAAAACATGCCTTCAAGTAATTTCATTGTGTGAGATTAACAACAAATTCTCTTTTCAGTAGAATTATATTTAGCACTAAGAATGGAAGCGAACCGTGTTAAGAATTAGAAACGAAATATATTGTGAATGAGAATGGATATTCTGCTCCAGACAACTTATTCTGAAACAAAATCCAATACACAGACAACAATGGACGAGGAACGGTCTAAGACTTACCAATGGCAATTCGCCGACCTGAAATATTCTTTTGTGAATGGTTTCCAGCATTCTGAGTCAGATTGCGGGAGCTCGTAGCGAATTGGGCGGCAGATTCGCCTTCCGCGCTGGGGTCCGGGCGCAACCCCGTGGACAAAAGCCAACGCATGTGGACAGAAGGGTTCTCGGCAGATCTTTCGGGGCTCTTCCAGATCCCCTCCCTCGTATTCCACCGTTTCTTCATTATCATTCACTTCATCGCCATTATTTTTATCGTCTACTTATAAAGACTAAATGGACCTAAAAATATTTATACGAAAATTCAAAAGATCGCATCACTATCAACGGGAATTTTCAATACCGATACCGTATGAACAATTACCTAATTTTCGATCTGTAAACGACATTTGACGCGTTTTTAGTATAGAATTTACGCTGTGAAGCATCTTTTAAAAAATTAGCTAATTCTTTGTTTTCAAATTTCTTTTCGTACTTCTGAGAAAAATTAGAAAGTGTGGACTAGTTGCGCGATGGCGTCCTGCTTCCTGAATCCAACGCCGTATCAGCCGTGCGAATCGGATGAATAGGAACAACGTAAAGTGAAATTTGACAAAATACAATGCCCCTGTTCCCCTTGCCGCGTGGGCGTATCTCTACCCTCCGCTCGGCGCGGCGGCAGGAGCCATTCTCCTTTCGTGGCCCGGTTGGAATTCGCCCGTTCATTCTTTCGCTATTTTCCGCATCTCAATTTATTTTCACACATCGAACTAGTGGTGCTATAAGAGGGGCAGACGTTCGTATTCTCTCTATCAGGAAGTGAAAAATAATAAATGAGAATGAGCATGTAAAGCTGAGAGTTTTCTCAGATCGCTGTAGGCGATTACGGGTACCAGCGCAATGGACTCATCTTCCGGGAGGGAGATAGTCTAATAGATTAAGGTGCTACAAACAGCGTTCTCTTTGTTCGAAGACGGTATCATTCAATATTATTCCATATTTTAAGATGTATAAATTGTGATTGTTTGTTTTTTCTTTCACAATCCAAAAATGGAGCTCAAAACATGGATCCTAAATATTGGCTTTCATAAATGTTTCATGTTTTTATAAAGCATGTTCATATTTCTATAAAACATCGATGTTTTGAAAATATCAACATGGATGTATGTCTACTCTTGACACCTCGCTGAGGATAACCGCTTAATCGTGGAACATGGCGGGGTGGCTGTCATACAGTGAAAAATGTTCAAGACCAAAACGATAGGATTCCAATTTTGTGCTTTCTTTTTCAGATACACGCCTTCGAACAGTTTCGCTTCTAGAAACGAATATTTGCATCCTGTGTAAATGAAACACAATACAGTGCTTTTTTTACAAATGTTTCTTTGCTTTCATTACAATTTAATGCTTTAAAAGTAAATAAATGCATAACAATACAATTTTTTACACTACATCGTGATTTTTTGCCATTAGAGCTCCTACCGTCTGCCTCCACTACTTTGTGTTGCATTGAATGCCTCTTATCTACAACATTATTTCCCTCAATAATTGTTCATAGAATTGGGGTAACTTTTATTCACGGGGGAAATTTGGAGGTCTCTTGAGGCAGTGCCACACATTCCAGAGGGTAGAGCGAGCACCGAATGTACGTCACTCGGCAAATAGCAAGCAACTCTTCCACACTTCTTGTCATTCGGTGAGCAGTTGCTCGCTACCCGCCGAATAACGAATGTGTTAAGCCGCCTTTACACACTTCAAAGCATCAGGAAACTTGACGATTGTTGGCGTGTATGCTGCTCCGTGCTCTTCACCCGCTTGCTTCCTATTATTGGCATTTTTCCTATCATTTTCTCGCTGGATGTCTCCATAAGTTCTGAACAACAATCAGCTGCTTGATAAGTGCGTACATTACGATTATATTATTATCACTGTGTAGCATCCATAACATGAAATTCACTGTTCTGCTCTTGGTACAGTTATCTGCTACCATTAAACTCGAAACCAATCCACACGTCTTTCAATGTTTACCAACGTGAGCTCAAATTTCAGGAATCCGAAATTCCAGGAAATTCAAGATGTGCGATGAGCCCAGTAAAGGGTAACGCAAATCAATAAAGCTCCATCATTTATGTAGCTTAAAAGGGGAAGAATGAAGCTAGATTCAGAAGCAATTCTAATAGCTACCGAAGATCAGGAATGCACATTACGACATTATGATAAAGCGGTTCTCAAAATTTCTCAAGATGATAATTGTCGCATTTTCCAGAAACAAGTAGAAACCATTAATCGTATCTTCTCAGCTTCTCCAATTCTAGCAAAGACCAAATTCTTGAAAAGACACGACAGATTGTGTAGTTACTTTCACTGACAGATCAGTAATTTCGAAGTTCCAAGCACATGCTCCAACATGCACAAGCGAATACTCACCAAACCTGTGACGTCTGTTGGACTCTGTACAATATTGTACGTCCAACAAATTCAAACTGCTCGCACAATAGCGGCAAACAAATCGATTATTGTCATCCGGGATTTGGAAAAAAATGTCTTTTTGCAGATGTTTCTTTGACGTGCGATTACGTCGTAACGACGGAGGCAGAGAAACGTCTAAAAAAAGAGTTTGGAATTCGAGATCAGCCGAATAAGGGGTGTAAAAGCACAGGTCGTCCCGATAATTACAAAGCTCTATAATTTGTTCTGAAAAATTTGTGTAAGAACTGGGCTAAACTCCCAAGTAATTTAAAATACTGGGAATTGCAAGCTATTGCTTTATTTGGAAAAGACCACATTTTGCGCAAAGCATAGTAGTCAACCTCTCAGCACGTGGCTCGTCCTGCCATGATAACGAGCTTTTGCCGTCGGAGTTTCTCTCGGGATAAGGAGAACACTCTACTAAGCTCCAACGGTCGCTTAGAGAGTAGATGAACGAGTACTGCAAGGGCACCCTCTGGTCCTTCGAGTGAGAAATCACTTCTAAAGGCGGAAGAACTATCATATGGTCAACGGCACAGGATGCTGAAAGCCACGAGAAACCATTAAGAATCCAAAGAATTTCCTCAGTAAAAAGCAAGAAGACAACAATCAATGTTAAATTTTAGATGGCCTGGTTCAGAAGAAATTAGTACTGATATGAAAATATTCTACTCAGAAAATTCTAATAATTATCACTGAAATTATGTGTAAATAATTTTAGATAAACACACTAGTCGATCTATCACAAGCTTTAGCCAATTTTAGACAGAATGGTCGTCTTACACTTAGAGACAAAACAAACCATCAATATGATTCAGGTTTATGTCCCAACAGCTGCCAAAAATGAAGTTTAAAAATGTTATCAGGACGTTCTACAAACAATGAAAACATCTAAATCCAGGGATATTATTACCATAATAGGGATATTAATGTATCTTGGAACTGATTTACAACATGACGATGATGAAATGATGAACAAGTATTTACAAAAGAAACAAAATGCTGATTTAATAAATACATCTAAACTAAAAGACCCTTCAATAAAACAAAAGATGTCTTAAGAAATTAATAAATAATTGAGTAAAATGAATAAATATACATCAGAAGACGTTAATTATAAATGAACAGGTTTAAAAGAAACCTTATTAAACACTTGTAAAAACACAACAGAACATAGGATCAAGAAAAAGTGGATGACAGGTGCTATGCTACAGATAATGGAACAGAGAAGATTGTTCAAAACTAAAGATGAAAATAAATACAATAACTTACAAGCGGAAATAAGAAGGGAGATACGGCAAGCAAACGAAAATTGGCACGTTGAGCAATGTTCAGAAATTGAGCAATGTTTAGAAATTGAGAAATTCGCATGACACATTCAATTTACATAAGAAAGTCAAATAGTTAGCTGGACAAACAAAATGAGAAATGAAAGTTTATTGTTAAATAAAAATGGCAAGATAAATCCTGATTTTCAGAGTAAACTAGAAAGATGGACAAATTACGTAAAAGAACTGTTTGAAGACAAGGTCAAAAATACTGTAGGAATATCATGTGAGAACGAGGTTCAAATCTATCAAGGAAAGACGTGCCATCAATAACTCAAACTCGTGGTGTTACAGAATGGCACAGAGTTTCTCGTACTAGTTTTCTAATGTCTTTAGCCTGTTCTAGCTTTCCTGTCTTGCCGCGTACTCTTGTCATCTGCCATCTATCACGGCCCAAAAACCATGTAGTTTTTTTTTACATTTTCTCAATTTTTCGGTAACTTAATAGTCGAACTGATATATTAATTTAAGAATATTAGAGAATAGTAAAACCTCGTCCTATATAGCAATATTCATATAAAATATTGGCGCCGTTTCTAAGAAAATGGAGTTTAAACCTAACTCTAAATGCAAAATTTGAAGTTCTTCGCAGAAATTTTTGAGGTTTCAAAAACCTTCATTTGAAGTCATCTGATGCATTTTCACTCAAAAATTCAATAATGCAGCATGTAAATGGCGGGAATTGTGCGTACTAAAGTTGTGAGAGATATTTAAAAAAAATTACATTAGTATTTTTTTGAAAAAACAAAAGAATACCCTGAAATGAACTTTATGTCATATTAAACAGTGCAATTTCCACTATTCGTTGGAAAATGTTGTAGAAACATTTGGTGCCATTTTTGAGAAAATGGCGTTTGAGCGTTCCTGATAATGCGGAATTTTGAGCTCATTTTCCCAGACAACTGTTCAGTTTTTGAGAAACTTTATATAACATTATTTAAAATACATGTACTCATAAATACAACAATGTAAACAAATCGCTGATAATGTAAATGTTAACGATATGTGTGACAAGTAAAAAATACATTTTTGTAATTTTTGAAAAACAAAAAAAGAGCGGTGTTTATAGCATCTTATAGAGTACATTTATCACTATCACTACTAAAAGTTTAAATAAACAATTTGCAGTCGTTTTTGAGAAAATCTTGTTTTTGTTATTTTTTAATATTGCACATACTTCACGCGTAATACGCGAAACCTACTAAAAATTACAAATAATGTATATGATCTTGAAAGTACTATATATAGGGAGTATATTCAATTTAAAGGAAGAATATATATATATATATATATATATATATATATATATATATATATATATATATATATATCTTCAATTGTATAGTTGTAGAAAATCGCGGAAAAAAATTAAAATTTTGCAATTTTCGAAAATTCAGAGTTAACAGGGAATATAGGACCTACGCCATTTTTATAAGTGTATTATACTCCATTATTTCAAAAAATTTAAAGAAAAAATTTGGAGCCACTTTTCGGAAAAGTTTTGGAATGTCGCTGGAGCTTCAGGTAAAGTACCCCCAAATTTTAAAGAATGTTTTACAAAATTGCAGCCAGATCCACCGGGGAATACAGGTTTTGGAAAAAATTCTACGTATGGTTTAGGCGCTATTAGTGTTCACAGACGGACGGACTGACGTTTGAAAAAACACAATTAGAGGACCCCAAAACGTGTATTTACGTTGAAATCTCGAAATTGATTTTCCGCAGCATTACATAACTTTCTCTATACTACGTATACACGCACGAATACGAGAAAGGAAAATAGTAAAGCACCTGGACCTGACATAAT